ATTCCTAAGTATTTTATCTTTTGGAGGGCTATTGTAAATGATACTGTTTTCCTGATTTCATAGTTGTCTTTGTTAATGTATAGGAATCCAACTGATTTTTGTATGTTGATTTTATATCCTGTCACTTTGCTGAATGCTTTTATTAGTTCCAATAGCTTTCTTAGGATTTTCTATATATAGGATCATATCATCTGCGAATTGGGATAATTTTACTTCTTCCTTACCATTGTAGATGCCCTTTATTTCCTTACCTTGTCTTATTGCTCTCGCTAGGACTTCCAATACAGTGTTGAATAAGAATGGTGATAAAGGGTATCCTTGTCTGGTTTCCGTTCTCAAGGGGAGTGCTTTCAGATTCTCTCCATTGAGGATAATATTGGCTTTTGTATAAATCCCCTTTATTATGTGGAGGAATTTCCCTTCTATTCCTATTTTGCTGAGAGTTTTTATCAGGAATGGGTATTGGACTTTATCAAATGCCTTTTCTGCATTGATATGATCATGTGATTCTTTTCCTTTGTTTTATTTATGTGGTGAATTGCATTGATTGATTTTCTAATGTTGAACCAACCTTGCATGCCTGGTCTGAATCCCACTTGGTCATGATGTATTACTTTTTTGATATGCTGTTGAATTCTATAGGCTAGGATTTTGTTGGGAATTTTTACATCTATACTCATGAGGGATATTGGTCTGTAGTTTTCTTTTTTAGTGATGTCTTTGCCTGGCTTTGGTATTATATTCTTTCTCTTTAAAACATTATCAAGATATAATTTATGTACCATGCAATTCACTCATTTAAAGTGTACAGTTCACTGATTTTTAGTTTATTTGCAAATATTTGCAGCTATCACAACAGTCAATTTTAGAACATTTTTATTGCCTCAAAAAGAAACTAATCCCCCATCTCCCATCTCCCCTCAGCCTTAGGCAACCACTAATCTGTCTGTCTCTGTAGATTTATCTATTCTTGAAATTTCATATGAATGGAATTATTCAATATATATGGTCCTTTGTGGCTGACTTTGTTTACTTAGAATAATGTTTTCAAGCTTCATCCAAGTTATAAAGCATGTATCAGTACTTCATTCCTTTTTATGTCCAAATAATAAGCCATTGTATGGATATATCATATTTTGTTTATCCATTCATCTGTTGATGGATATTTGGGTTGTTTTCTACCTTTTGGCAATTATGAATAATACTACTATAAGGGTTTGTGTATGAGTTTTTGTGTGGACATGTTTTCGTTTCTATTAGGTATATTACTGCAATTGCTGGGTCATCTGGTAACTCCGTGTTTTAACCGTTTGAGGAAGTGCCAGATGTTTTTCCAAAACAGCTGCACCATTTTACATTCCCACCAGAAGTGTATGAGGGTTCCAGTTTCTCCACATCCTTTTCAACATTTGTTATTTTCCACGTTTTGGACTTTTTTAAAAAAAAATAATAGCAATCCTAGTGGGTATGAAGTGGTATCTTATTGTGGTTTTGATTTGCATTTCCTTGATGGCTAATGAAGTTGAGCATCTTTTCATATGCTTATTGGCCATTTGTATATCTTCTTTGGAGAAATGTCTGTTCAGCTCCTGTGCCCATTTTTAATTAATTTGTGTCTTTTATTATTGAATTGTAGTAGTTCTTTATATATTCTAGATACAAGTCTCTTATCAGATATATGATTTGCAAAATTTTTCTCCTGTGGATTATCTTTTTACTTTCTTGATGGTGTTCTTTGAAGCACAAAAGTTTTTAATTTTGATGCTGCCCAGTTTATTTTTTCTTTTATTATGCTTTTGGTGTCATATCTAGGAAACCATGGCCTAATCGAAGGTCACAAAGATTTTACACTTAATGTTTTCTTCTTAGTTTTATAGTTTTAGCTCTTACATTTAGGTCTTTGATCCATTTTGAGTTAGTTTTTGTATATAGTGTGAGATAAGGGTCCAACTTCATTCTTTTGCCTATGTATGTCGAGTTGTCCCAGCACCATTTGTTGAAAAGACTGTTCTTTCCAAAATGAATATTCTTGACACCCTTGTGGAAAATCAATTGACCGTAGATACTTTCAGCGGTAAAGTATACTCCCAAAGAAGGGTTTTTTTCCCCTGGATTCGCAATTTTAGTCCACCGATCTGTACCTGTCTTTATGCCAGTACCATGCTGTCTCAGTTACTATTGCTTGCTTTGTAGTAAGTTTTGAAATTGAGAGTGTAAGACCTCCAACTTTGTTCTTTTTCAAGATTCTTTTGGATATTCTGGATCCTTTGAATTTCCGTATGAATTTTAGGATCAGCTTGTCAGTTCGTGCAAAGAACCCAACTGGGATTTTGATAGGGAATGCTTTGCATTTGTAAATTCATTTGTGGGGGACGTTGCCGTCTTAACAATATGAAGTTGTCTGATCCATGAACGTGGGATGTATTTCCATTTATGTAGGTCTTCTTTACCTTTGATGACTCATGGACATATGGTATCCCAACCACTCTTTATGCCTCTGGAGTTTTTTGGGAGTATACTTTTACCACTGAAAGTATTTGCTGCCGTTCAGTGGGGACTTGAGTAATGGCAAAAGACTAAAGAAGAGTTAGTTGAAGCAAAATACCTGGAGTATGAGGCTTGCAAATAAGGTAGTGCAACCAGGAAGTGTGATTGGGTAAAAATTTTGTCTCTTTTGGCTTTTTCACCCCACCTAGGCCTTGTAAGCATATTTATGGTATCCTGTGTGATAGTTAAGGAGCCCTGGTGGGCTTGGTTTTGTTTTTTTGTGTGTCATATTTGGAAAACTAGAGGTTCCCCGTATAACCTAATGGAAGGCGCTTCACCATATTTTCGGCAACCAAGGTTCCTTGGGACAGGCAGTGGCCCATCAATTTGCAGGGCTGAGAACATAAAAAGTTCCATGGTAACCATATAGTCCCAGATAATATTTCTCAAAATCTATATTACCAACCAAGAATTTAAACACACTCCATGACTCAGTATACTTCCATTAATGAAAACACATGGTATCCAAAAAAAGCAAAAAGTAATAGGGTCACCAAAGGGTTAATTTCTCTCAACAATATTTTGTAGTTTTCGGAGTATAAGTTTTGTACTTCCTTTGTTAATTGTATTCCTAAGTTCTTTATTCAGTATCATTTTTGAGTTGTTCATTGCATGTGTATAGAAATACGATTGATTTTTTGTATATTGATTTTGTATATTGTAACCTTGCTTAACTCATGTTTTTTTCTAATAGTTGTATATTTATTTATTGTGGTAAGTATATATGAGATAAAATTTTTGCCATTTCAACATTTTTTACATATACAGTTCAGTGACATTAATTATGCTCATCATGCTCTGCAACCATCACCATTGTCTGTTTCCAAATTTTTCTGTTACCCTTAACAGAAATTCACTGCCCCCTAAGCGAGGACTCCCCCTTCCTCCTTCTCTCCTGCCCCAGGTAACTTGTAATAAACCAGGGTAACCTTTAATAATCCAGGGCCTCAAACCCCTGCTGAAAATTTGCACTTCTA